TAATTTCTAGTAGAAAACAATCTGGTTCCCCTTCCTTATTCACTCTAGTACACCAAAGGCTTCCTCCTGCTGAAACTCTGTTCCCCTCTGTGCTCTCCTTTTGGGCTGTGAGAACAGATCTCTAGTCCCCTCTTAATCTTCTATTTTAGATGATTTCAAAGATGCTTTGAGTTTCCCTCTTACTTTACCCTATTAATTCGTGATCTCTGAAACTTTGATAAGGCACAAGACTGAGATTTAGGCCAGATTCCCATAACTTTAATCAGACCAATCTGCTACAGCTCACTGTAGATAGAGTGTTAGACCTGTCTGTGCTGAAACTGACTACTTCCAGTATGCTATAACCAGCTCCTGTGTGCTCTTTGTAGCTAAATCTACACTTAACTAAAAATATGGTGCTAAACTTCCTTCTGCCTATGTAAGATTATAGATCAGACCTTTTCTTTGTGCCAAGGATTGGGAGAAGGCTGCTCAATGATGCTGCCAAGAAATGGAAACTGTTTTCAGAAGATTTTCCTTAGGCCTCACGTCTTGATCACTACCATGACAGCCATTTCTTATTCTCCCACTCTCTGTAGCTCTCTTATATTCATTAATTTTAAAGACTTTTAAAGGTGTTTATTTAGAATTTTCTACATACTTACAGTATTTACATCATTGGCATTCCTCAATTTCACACACTACTTCCTCTCATGTCTTCCAATCTCTCTAAAATTCCTGTCTCTTCTGTAATTATTATTAGTTTTACCCTATTAGTTTAGGAAAATTGATATCTTCAGAAATACAATATTCTGGGCCCAATTAATATATATGTTCATAGCAGCATTATTTGTAATAGCCAGAACTTGGAAGCAACCTAGATGCCCCTCAACCGAAAAGTGGATAGAGAAAATGTGGTACATTTACACAATGGAGTACGATTCAGCAGAAAAAAACAATGGAATCCTGAGATTTGCAGGCAAATGGATGACACTAGAAGAAACCATCCTGAGTGAGGTAACCCAGTCACAAAAAGACAAGCATGGCATGTACTCTCTCATATATGGATTTTAGACATAGATCTGGGGAGTGCCAGCCTACAATCCTATGGCCAGAGAGTCAGGGAAACAGAAACTTCATTCAGTGGCTGATGGAAGAAGAGGCAGACTCCCTCGGTTAAGTACTGAGCTGAACTCAAGAAAGCCAGTAACAGAGAGGGAGGACTGATAACCAAAGGGATTAAGACTGGGCTGGTTTAACCCCAGAAACAGTGGACCTGACAAGGGTTAACTCTTGAATCCCAGGCATCAGCCTGGGAATCCAGCATGGGACTGATCAAGACCCCCTGAATGTGGATGTCAGTGAGGAGGCCTAGGGAATCTATTGAGCCTTGGGCAGTAGATCAGTACTCATCCAGAGTATACACACGGACTTTGGACTCCCATCCAACAATGTGAGGTGCACTCTCGCCCTGAACTCTTGGGGGAGGCTCTAGGCCCTGCCCTGGATGAAATGACAGACTATGGACATCCCCATGGAGGGCCTCACCCTCCCAGGGGAAATGAGGGGATAATGGAGGGGGGGTTGGGGTGAGGGACCTGGAACTGACTTGTGAAGCAACCTTGTTTCTTATCTAAATTTAAACTGAAAAATAAGTTTAAAAAAAAAGATCACACATACCCAAAGAAGGTCATAACTCCTACTAGTGTAACTCAAAGGGTTAAGCAGTCAACCGTAGCAGTCTATGGGGGACATTCCTATACACACCACTAATCATCCACTGCTTTCTGCATTTGGATTCATTTTGGATTTCTTTGGTGGCTTCTGTCTGTGCAAAAATAAAACATCCTTAATGTAGGACTAGAGCTACAATTGTCTGTGGGAATAAGGTTGTATATTTAGGATGAACCTAGAAATTAAACTGGTTTAGGACTGTTGCCATTATATGTTTTCTGTCCCTGTTCAGTTGATTGCATTCCAGTACCAGCCATGATTTTCCTCCTTATGAGCAGCCTGAGATGCAATTAGACAGCTTTGTTACCTCTCATTTATAACTGCCACTCTTACACAACTAGGAATATCTTGCCATGCTGGTCATTGCTGTCATTTGTAGGGATCACAAGTGGGTATGACAGCTGACTGTTTTCCTCTGTTGCCAACTTTTGTAGAATCATCAAGTACTCTGATAAGGTTTAGTCCTCAGAGAAGAAGTTTCTGCATCACATCATCAATCAGAGAAACTACATGAGTCAGCTGCAGGTCCTCTGTGTGTATACTATTGCTATTAGCTGAGTATTTTGATGAGTCTCCTGATTCTGAGAACAAGTGAGTCTCAGAACTTTTTGCTATTATTGGGTTGCAGGGTCCTACATAAATATGATAGTTTTGTCTCAGTTTATTATATTTTATTTTGTCATGTTTTGTTTTTATCTCTTAGTGACCTATTATTCTTTAATGACAGAAAGAAAGAGGGTGAATCTCCATCTTGGGGTTGTGCTGAGGAACTATGAAGTGTTGAGAGAGGGGAAATTTTAAAAGGTATATACTGTATGAAAAAAAATCTATTTTCAATCAAAGGAACTAAGTTTAAAGTGATTAATGACATAAACAACATTTAAATAGATTGACTTTCTTTTTAAAAGGGTAACTTTTTCTCAATATATGTTTTATTTAAATTAGAAATATGAATGTTTCACATGTCAGTCCCAGCTCCCTCTCCCACCCCTCCTCCCTTGTCCCTCCACCAGGCCCCCAGACCCCACCCAATCCCCACATAATTCTTGCTGCCCATTTTTTTTACTAAATTTCTATCACTACTCGAGTGTGATAGGGTAATTGTAGCATGAGTACATGAAACAGACAAATACCTAGAATCCCTAAACCTACAGAGATTGAAGCATGAAGAAACACAAAATGGATTTCATGAATAATTCATAAGACTGAATCAATAAGGACATTTGACAAAAAGTCAACTATTTTTAATGTATAAAACTGACAAACTAGGAGTAGAACAGAGTACTGTGCATTAGGTGCATGCAAGAAAAACCGCTGCCAACTCAGAAGTCACTCAGAAAATTGGGAGCTTTCCCTCTAAGACAAGGATCGACACAAGGATACTGTGGTGGCCACTTTTCTTCAGTATAATCTTAGATGTCCTAGACAGAACAAATGGCAACATAAATAAGTAAAAGTTGGTCAATTGATTGGCTATAAAATACATCTGCAGATAACAGGAACTTATTTTGAAAAACTCTAAGGATTCTACAGAATTTTATGGAACTAGTGAACAAACATACCCATTGAGCTCTGCTTCTATACACTAATATTGTGCACAATTAGATGTAATGTTTTGTGACATGCATAGAGAAGCTAAGTAACAAGGAAGACTCAAGTGGGATCCATGTATCTCCCTGGGAAGAAGAAATAGATGAGATTTTGTGAATGGATCAAGGCATGTATGGATTGGAACAGTCAGAAACAGAAGGGAGATGGTGAAGTGGAAGAAGAGAGCACTTGGAATAATTTCGGGAATGGTAGGGCATTTGGGGAGCAATGTGGAAATCTACTACAATGGAAACTCTCTGGAATCTAAAGAGTGGCACTAATAAAGACTCCTAGTAGTGAGTAATAGATAGCCTGAACAAGCCGTCTTCTAAACAACAGAAGACTCCTAGCAGTGGGAATGGGACACCAATCCCTCCAAAAAAACCATTGACCTACACAACCTGTTCTGCTTGAAATATGTCCTGGGGTAATAGTGGGAGAGAACTTGTGGAATTGGCCAAAAAAGTACTTGCCCAAATTAAAGAACATGCCATGAGAGAGAGACTTCAGACCTGACACTGCATGGATAGCCGGGAACATAAGGGTATATAGCACAGAAATTCAGGATAAAACCAAACATGACTGAAAAAAAGCATTTCAATGAAATGACTACTAATGATATTTGGTTATGCTACTAGATCAGTGTCCAGGTTAATAGTCATCATAGAGGCATGATCTAGAAACATATGGGAACAGACGCAGAGACATATAGCCAAATACTTGGCAATGCCAGAGGAGCCCACAAAATAGGGGAAGAATGAACTGTAGGAACCAGAGGGGTCAAGGATAGTATGAAAACATAGAACACAGAACCAGTTAAGCAGAGGTTATAGAGGATCATTTAAACTGAAGAGATAACCAAACACACTGCATGTGTTTTAGCTAAGGCCTCCGCAAATAAGTAATGGTAATGTAAATGGGTATTCTTGTGGAACTCCTAACAGTGGAAGTGACGGACATCTTTGACTCTTTGCCTGCCCTTTGGACCCTTTACTTCCTACTGGGTTGCCTCTCCCAGCGCTGATGAGGGATTGTGACAAGTTTAATATAACTTAGTATGTAGATATACATGGGAGGCATGCACATTTTTGAGAGGAAACAAAAGAAGAGTGGATCTGGGGTAGTGGGGAAGTGAGGTTTAGGAAAAGCTAGAGGGGGGAGTCTCCAATTGTGATGCAGTATATTAGAGGGGAATAAAAAGGAAAGAAACTCAAATGAACAGGGAAAGCACTCTTGTGCAAATCCCACTGGGAATGCCACTCTCAGGATGCAAACAGTGTGATCTGCCCTAATATGAAGGATTTTACATCTGTGCATCCAACAATGGATCAAATCTATTTAGAAATAAACTATGTGCATGGGCAGACCTCTCTCCTGTCTGTCTTCTTCACTTTGCAGGGATGAGTGTTGTCGAGGCAGCATTGGGCTTAGGTGATTTTGTAAAACAAGGAACATATTTGAGTACATGAGTGAACATCTTTCCCAATGCAAACAATGCATCATTTTCATAGAAGATTCAGAACATCCAAATGTTATAGGGACCCTGAAATTAGTTCCCATGACTTCTGAGGGATCTCTATAGATTTGAACCACAACCTAAGTTCTTTTTTATTAATTTTTTTATTTTTAAGTTTAAATTTAGATTCGAAACATGTTTGGTTCACGAGTCAGTTCCAGGTCCCTCTCCCTTTCCCTCATCATGGCCAGTAAACTGGGAGACTGGTCTTCAAACTGAATTGGTTGGAGACCTCACACTGATAATCTCCAGCATCCTCACTCATGACTGGATCTATTCTGAGTCCACACTTTGTGGGGGAGAGAGTCATCCTCTCTTTGAGCTGCAGATTATTCTTTTTGAAGATCCAACGGATGGAGACATCAGTGTCGGGTGAAATGCAAATGAAGATCACAGATGTACCTCCTGTGAGTGTATTGTCAGTGATTTGAACAATGGGTTGTGTCACATACTCTGTGAAGAAACAGAGAAGGATACCAAATGACAGGAGTCCAGAGAGTTCAATCAGGCCCTCTTTAGTTCATGCATTATAGTGCTTCAGGGGAGTGTGGGGTTGAAGCTGTGACTATAAACATATATTGGATTTTGGATCTGCCACCCAGGACTGTTACCCTGACAGTCTTAGTTATGAGCAATGGTCTGAACTTGGGATGCGGAGCAACTCATATCAGCAGCACCTGTTAATATTTACGTGCAGAAGAAAATTCCCTAGGCTGGGCCCCTGAGTTGAAGGAGGAATCTGGGGTAGCTGCCTCCATTTTCTCCCCTTGGTGCCTTGATCTTCCTGTGAAATCTCATAATACCATCAGAACAGTAGCATAATGGCTTGCACACTTGTGCACTGAGCCTCAGGCGAAGGAGATGCACAGGTGATCTAACTAACTGCAGTTGTCATGGCAGTACACATCTGGTTCTACACTCTATGGGATAGTCAGTCGCATGACTTGGACAGTCAGTAAGCCCTTCGTCCCTCTCAGGTCTGACAGGAAATCTAAACAGTTACAAAATCTCCCACATGTCACCTTGAGGCTGGCCAGGGGCAAAGTTTTGGAGTCATGGCTTCGTGGTCCCATGGTGCATTCACACAGAGACTGCCTGACTCCCACAGTCTTTCTAGGGACATATGAAAGAGCTCTAAGGGTCGGAGCTGGAAGTAGCATCCTGGAGCTGAGTTTATCCAGCACAAGTCCTCCTCTTTGCTGGTAAAGGCAGGTGTGCAGTCCTGATATTACAGTTTGTCTACCCAATGCATTTCCTACAGCAGGGAACAAACCCCTGCAGAGGAACACAATGCAGTGGAGAAGAGAGGAGATGAAGCCAAACACTGACAGCTTAGCGTATGAAGTAGGGTTAGCCACGCCCCATAGGTAGAGACTGTAGTGAGTCACTTACTCTTTATATAGAATTCCACGTATGCTGTTTCAAATTCGACATTTTTGTTTACAACTTCTAGCATGTACACTCCTGCATCTTCTTCAGTGACATGCGGGAGCATCAGGGATCCATTATTGTACACCATCCATCCTTGGCTGTGTGCAGGTCCCCAGGTGATGGAATTCGTGACTTTGATGTTTTCTACAATTTGAAGACCTGAGGATCTGTAATTTGCTTTGTACCAGTAAAAGGCTAAAATATCTTCTGGAAGATTATGAACTTGGAGAAGTACGCGTTGCCCTTCAGTAGCATATGGAGGCACCGGCTGGATCGCAATTTGGGAAGTCAGTGGGTTACAGAACGCAGAAGCTGAGAGGGAAAACACAAAAAAAGACATTGCATGAGGATTATTTGCTTGGTGAAAACAATGGTGACCTCCATCATGATCAGATGGTTTCATCACTCAGGCTAGGGTTGCAGGTGTGTGTGTGTGTGTGTGTGTGTGTGTGTGTGTGTGTGTGTGTGTGTGTGTCCTACTAATGAAGGGCAGAAACATGAGCTCTTCATTTCCAACTATGTCTCTGAAAGTGTCATTTCCTCTGCATGGAACTATCTCCTCGGGGGTCTACATGAGTGCCCCCTGACTGCCCTCAGTCAGATACAGCACACACTCATGCACACTGAGGTTTGAGAGTATGCTTCCCCTGAATTCAACAGGCCTGTAACTTTCACTTTAAAGGGTTTTGTCTTCGGTTTCCTTTGAGGCAACAGTCAACTCATGACTTCTCCTAATATATGCACTTGGTGCTCTCTCAAGTAGCCCTTAAGTCTGGGGCTGTGTGGGGCCTGGGAGCAGTCTGATCATCAAGGCAGTCTCAGGTATTTAAAATATTTCTGTACAAGCCTTGCTTGTTACATATCAACTTGACACAAGCTACAGTCATAGTGAAAGACAAGACCTCAGTTGAAATCACCTCCAGCAGGTTGGCCTGTGAGAAAAATTATACTGCATTTTTAAAATTGGCAGTTGATGAAAAATGATTCAGACCAATGCAGACAGTTTAAGTTCTGAACTAAGAGTCGTGGGTGATATCAGAGAGCTGGTTGAGCACGCATGAAGAGCGTGTCAATAGGAAGCACTGCTCCATGGTCTCTGTATCAGTTCCTAGATTTTATTTACGACACACCATTTAGAGCCAATAAATATTCCAGTTTCACACAGCTGTTCTAAAACCATTGTTCCCTACCAATTTTGAGAGAATGTAAGTGTAGACCACTAGACAAATTCTCCACTGGGTCACATTAGTCCAGCCTTGGAAAGATGACAGGATTCTGGATTCTCTGATCTAAAACTCCAAGAGACTGAGCGAACACTGACATCTTAAGCCGATTTACTTCCCATCGAAGTGTTTCCTGATGCAAATGGAGTCAAAATATGGAATACGATCTATGGCCATTTGTCTCTGTCAGTGTGTCCTCCACTGATTGCTCAAACCTCCATCTGGGACACATTGCAGAGGGAACAGAAGATAGGCCGGCCCTGACATCCCAATGTGTCTAATCTCCACCCACCAGTAAACAATCGCAGAGAACTACTTACCGCCCACGGGGAGTTGCACCTGTACATCTTCATAGTCCCCATCTCTTCTCAGAACTCGTAGGATGTAAAAGCCACCATCTTTCTGAGTGACATGCTGGATCAGCAGAGAGCCATCACTGTTCACTGTGTGCCTTCCTCTGTACGCAGGCCCCCACAGGGTTTGTTCGCCCTTTCCTACATGATGGATAGCCACAAGGTTCTTGAAGTCAAACGTTCCTTTAAACCAGATATAGCCGATAATAGCCTCCGGAGTATTGCGAATGAGTAGAAGGACACTTCTCCCTTCAGCAACGATGGGTGGCACTAATTCAACAGTGGTCTTGGGATGGGCAGCAAGGCGCCCACACTTCCAAAGGAAAGCTAGATGTGAAAAGAGAGATCCACCTAAGTTGGGACTTTTGTATTTTACCAAGATGAGGCCCTTTGTCCTGAGCAACTGGGTCCATCGCATAGCCTAGGTTGATTGGTGAGTATCTTCCTGTTCTACTTGATGGAGATCAACATATGACCCTCATATTCTCAGTGTCCCCACATTATTCACTTCCTCTATCTATCTATCTGTCTGTCTTTCTATCTATCTATCCATGTATTCAGTTTTCAACATTACCCCAGATTACTGCCATCAGAAACCTGCTCATATTTACAGTGAATTGGTGTTGGTGTGATGCCTGCCCAACCTCTTCCCCTACAGACCCTGCGTCCTCCTCACTCTCTGACTTTGTCATTTTCCTGTTCCTCTTGGGATTGCAGTAAACACATGAATTTACATTCTAGTGTTCTTAATTTCAGCTGTACACAAACTGGGACATCATAAGACCATGAGTTATCTTGTATTTATTTAATGATGCCTAGAATAAACTCAGATACATGTCAAGAAAATGATGTCCCAGAACCCTGCCTTCCCATGGACCTAATTTAAGAAACCCAAGGATTTAGGGATATGCCATTGTATTATTTCATTTACATTGATTTTTTATGCTTGCTTACATATTATACTTGGGTGTGAGTGGTGTAAGGGCAACAGTAGTGTATACAGGTCAGTCTAGGACATAGTATTTAAGTGAAGGTGGGGATTTCTGTTTAGGGTCTCGGCTTGTCAAACAATAAAACAAATGCTTATATCCATTGGACCATGTCAGTGAGCTACACCAGCTTGATTTTTTTTAATTTGGGCCATTATGATGAGAGCATTAGTTTCCAGAATATTGTGTCCATACTTAGTAACTTCATGAAAGACTTCTCCCCCATAATTTGCAGATTAATATTCAAACAGATCATCCTAATGCTGAGCACCTCTCCCACTCTGCATCTTCTCTCCTACAAACGTGAGACTGCTCTCAGAAGACTACAGAAAGTGTGCCATTCCTCTAACTTCACAAACTGTCAACTTGTCTCCTCATCTGTAAGCAGAAGCCCTTGAGAATTGGTAAACCCATTTGTGAAGGAGAGCCAAGAGGACCTCCATTGTTTCAGCAGACTGATCTGTCATACCTCTGAGGTATTTCTGTTCCAGCACATCTCCCAAGCTCTGCCGTCCTTCCCACATCTGAACTGAGCCTTGTCCCAGGAGGAGTCAAATAAAGGGGTTCAATAGACAGAAGGTGTGTCTGTGTTCAGTAGACTGGATGTGTGTCTGTGTTCAGTATACTGGAGGTGTGTCTGTGTTCAATAGACTGGAGGTGGGTCTGTGTTCAACAGACTGGAGGTGTGTCTGTGTTCAATAGACTGGAGGTGTGTTGTGTTCAAATTCCTGCTCTGCCCCTCCAGTTTCTGAGATACCCCATGTTGCTTTCCCATTTCTTCCCCATGTCTCTGTTCTCTAGAACACAGAGTGAGAGTCAAGAGTAATGAGCATCGCTTTGACATGGCATAAAAGCGGCTGATCTTGGAACTGTACTCTCCTGTCTTGACCAAGATTTATCAGCACAAAACAAAAGGAAAATCTGTAAAAATGTGTGACAAAGACAGCCAACTGGGCAGGCATTCTGCCTTGTGTTTTCAATGCTCTATAAGCATGAAATTTGTTTTCATAAGGAAGGTGAAAGAACTGCCTTTGAGGCTCCGAAGGGACCAGGTGAGTGATGTGTGTGAAAAAAATCAATTCTCATTTGAGTCACCATTAGACTGGGTTCTGACTGAGGACAAAATCCCAGGATGAGTCTAGAGTTGTCCTGGGTGTGTGGGAGGAGGTGACATGATCTCTGTAAAAGAGTTGTGAGCTCCTTCATCCTGTACAAGATTTCTAGGACCATGCCCCCATTTTCACTGTTTGCTGAGCTGTGTAATGGGTTTGCCCATGTGCTCTGTGGTCCTTCTGAGATGCCTTAGATCTCTTTCTAGTTGTTTAAACTTGGATATCATGTATTTCCCAAGGAGAAACTGTCTGTCAGTTTAGCAGACACATTAAGCACCCTGTAGGTCTGAGAATCCTGTGACCATGATTTCCAGATCTGTAAAAACAGGAGTGGAACTAGGCTACTCTGTAAGTTCCTGGTTCAGGCAAATACTTTTATGCTGATTCATTGTGTGTCCTGATAACATCCCTAGTGATGATGGCAGAAGGGACTGGAGTTCATGTCTGGGAAGCTGTCACATCAGCATAGCCTTTAGCCATTTGACTGCAGGAAAGAATTCCCCAAGTGTGCCATTAACTACCTGTTGTGTCCCTCTCCTTGGTGACCATGACTTTCATGTGAAATCTCATATGACCACACAACAGCTAGTTAATGCTATGACCACATGTTGACCCGTGCTCCCTTAAGTATACTATGAAGATGGCAAAAGTGTGTAGCCCCGCCAAGACTAATATAACAGTGTACTGTCTGGTTCCACACATCACAAGACTGACTGCTAGGGAGCACTGTTCCCTGCTATCAGGAAGTCAAAATCCATCACTTTTAAAATGCCTCCCATGGAGACCTGGAGTTGAGATTTGGAAAGAGTTCTGGAGGCAGGGAATCCTAATTCTCACGTCTCTTTGAGGATTCTATATTTTCCACAACCACACACAACGTTGATTTCCTGAGTCTTTCTAAGAAAACATTCCTGGTGAGAACCTCTAGAGTTTAGACAGAAGCTGATATACTTGACTGAGGTGTGCAACATGCATCCGCCTGAGTGCAAGGTTAAGTCAAATCAAGGGTTCTGATATATTGCCATGATTCTACACCATATGTGTCCTGCACTAAACAACTAAAACCCAACGTGAGAGCACAATGAATAGGGAAGGCAGACACAGACAACATTCCTGTGTGTCCGGTGAAACGAACCTCACACAGCTCAGAGATTTCACAACAAGTCACTCACGGAGTACGTTGAGATACTTCTTTGTTGTTGATACAATTTTTCCACGTCTGTTATGGGTGCGTAGAGTATAAAATCCTCTGTCATTCATGTTCACTTTTTCAAACAGCAGGGTTCCATTGTAAAAAATTGTCTCTCTGCCAGTGTGTGCAGGCCCGGGTTGACTTGAATTCTTGCGCAGTTCATATATTGCGATTGCTTTTGTCTCATTTTTTATCTCTTTGTACCAGGTTATAGATTTAATTTTCTTTGGAAGATTATGTACGGGGATAAGAACATTATCTCCTTCAGCCACTAGAGTTGGCACTGTTTCGCTGGAATACTGGGCAGTGGTGGGCAGGGGCCAGAAGGATATAAGGCAAACTATAAGGGAATTGAGAAAAAAACACCAAAATTAAATGAGGGTGATTATCACTCAGGGTCAGTGTGTGAGCAAGGATGTGCCCACCCTCCTTTGCAGACATAAGCAACATGAATTCCATTGATTCAGAGTGTCTGAGTGTGTCAGTAATTGTCTTAGAAATTCTCTGTTCAGGTGTCTGCCTGGTTCCCCCCTCAAGTGTATTTGGTAAGAGGAGCAATGCCTATCTGAACTCCTCCTCAGGAAAGACCTCAATCCTTATTATTTTTCTCTGTTTCCTTTTTGATTCTTGTCAATCCATGGTGTCATCGTTCAGATATACAGACATCAGGCCCAATAGATCCAGGCATGTTTGTCTCTTTGGCTTTTGTTTTTGTTTTTGTTTTTGTTTTAAGATAAGGTTTCACTGTGCAGTCTTGGATGACCTGCAACTTTCTCTGTTGCCCAGGCTTGCCTTGAACTCACAGAGATCAAGTCTCTCTGCTTCCCAAGTCCTGGGATTAAAGGTCTGAGCCACTGCCACTAGGCAGAACTCAAAATATATAAGGGCAGGATTATTCTGAACTTTTGGAAGGTTGGTTCCATGAAAAAATATTTAAAAAAGAAGTGAATATATTACCATAGATTTCTTTTTATATTATCTAAGTTTGGAGCTTATGAAAATAACTATATTCAGGGTGAAATAAATGATTTTAGATTTACCTATGTAAATAAACACATTTATGAAAGAATTCTTGTGTCTCCTAGTGCATATATGAAAATGTATGCAATAAATCTGTGTGGGTGCATATGTCAGTGTGTGCATGCATGGGTGCATGCCACAATACCTATGTGGAGGGGACAGGAGAGCCTGCAAGAGTCTGTTCTCTCCATTCACTGTATGTGAGCTGAGAATTGGTCTCAGGTTTCACTGAGACTTCTCTCTAGTCCTCCCATGTTGGGTCTATTTGGAGGGTAATAATCTCATGATGGAGGACATCTGCCTTCATAACACTGCAGCCAATGTAATTCACAGTGAGCATGGAGTGTCTGATTCTTTCCTCTTACCCTCGTCACCTCCTGTCATCTGTGAACTTCAGGCAGCTGAGCCACTGTCCCGCACTCTACTACAAACAAAAACCTTTACTATCCTCTCAGGTTTCTGTCCTCTTCAGGAAACTCCAACATGATGTTTCAAGGTATGCTTCCCTACACAGTCAGAAAATAAATAACCTTACCTGTGAGCAGAAGCCGCGGCCCAGGGGTACACCCCTTGCAGAGAAGCATAGAGGGCTCCTCCATCAATCTTCTCACTTGCTGTCCTACCTCTGTGTGGAAGGCTCAGTGTTCTTCCTCCTTCTATGCTGAGATTTTCCTCAGTCAGGAGGACTTCCCAGAATCCAGTGAGTGGCTGGAGTCCGAGTCGAAGTCACTGCTCAGTACCTTCCACTCTCAGTACTGCCCCACATTCCTATCAACTTCCATTTATGTTGGTCCTCCAAGCAACACATTAAGCAACAAGGCTGATAAGCATCCCCATGCCCTCGGAGAACAATGTCTCATCCCAGGGTTGACACCTGCTGTGTCCTTACCTTGGGTCTATCAGCACAAAAGATGAAGACTCTATCATGACTATTTGTCCTGGTAGCACAGGGACCCAGCAGAGCACCTAGTCTACCCTGTGATCTCAATGCTATGGGGAGTTTGTGCTTACTTAATCCCTTCAGGAATGCAACATAAATGTTACTGTGGGTTATAATAGATGAGCTGAGCAGTGACTAGGGATAAAGACCAATCGTTTATCACTAATACCACCTTGAACTAATGATCCAAGAGAGAGGACCAGGAGCAGTTGTAAGAGTAGTTTCATGGGTTCATCATGGGAAAGAGGTGATCTGTGTATCCTTAAAAGAACTGTGTGCTCCTTCTTCCTGTGGAAGGTTTCAAGGCAACATTCTACCATTGTGTGTTGGTGTGCATATATTCTCTCTAATCTTCCTGTGTCATCTTTGCCATTTCCTAGAATATTCCCTGTTGATAATCTTGTATTCCCCTTTGACAGATGCAAGGAGAAAGAGACCTTCAGGTTCCCCAAGAAGAAAGGTGTTCTTAGACAAAGGAAGGAGCCAGAAGTAGGTCAGAGCAGGATCTAGCGAGTGAGCTTAAGGTTACTAAGGACAAAAATGAAAAGAAGTCTGTTCAAGGAAAAGATTTTCAGAGTATCGAGCATGTGTCCTGCTATGGACCCCTGTGGATTACTGGAAGAACTTCTAGAGCAGGATTCACTGGCCAGCCTAGTTATCTGCATTGTGGGTCTGCATCAGTACAAAGAGTGGCTGAGTTCCCCAGGAGTGAGTCTCTTTAAGGAAACAGCTACAGTGATGAGGAGACAGAAAGTGCTCACAATTAGCATTCAGGCTGACTGGGTTACTTTGGGTGGTTATCACTCATTTCTATATTACACACTCATGAAGTTCTGTGTCAGTTGTGATACTGATCCACTTGCCCTCTGATAATTTCAGGCTGTTACCTTGAAAGAGGCTTTGACCATTTCTACTCATCAGGTAGATTGTATTCTGAAACTCACGTACATGGTTTAGGGGTGCCATCCTCAACCTCCATGGCATTATCATCATCAACTGTGATGATGGCCTTGGAGTAGAAGTGTGTGAAAAATCCTTGAAAATGCCTCTTTCAGCCACTGTGAGTCTTTCTAGCATCCATCCCAACTCCGTGTCCTTACAGAACCAGACAGAAGATAAATCACATGCAGATGAAAGGGGACATGAGTAATCAGAGAGATGGAGAGTCTCTTTTTCTATTAATTCATATTGGTTCATGTTTTATTGTTGTCTTTCATTAACCATGTGGAAATTAGGATCTCTATGGTTAAATTTTCATATATCTTCATGAATATTTCACTGGGCTAACTTCCCAGGAGTAGAATTTTGTGCTAAAGGAACAGTGGGAACTGACTCCAGGCCCACAGCAAAGCACGTTATAGTAATGCTGCCATCCGATGGAGGGTCTCTTGTGTTCTGAGGGGGAAACGGTATTCGATTAGGATCAGATACTACCTAGGATCTGCTGTCAAATGACCATTGTCTTTGCTGGACCTCATTGACCCACTGCCTACCTTGCATCAAAGGATGTTGTGTCCTTCTGGCTTTACAGATGTCCACTGAGCCCAGCCAATGCCTTCCAAGGCAATGACGCTCAATAAAGTATTACAGAAGGGACACAATAATGTTTCTCATTGAGCATCCAAGAGAAGTACCCACAGATTATCCTCGGGACTTGCATATTCAGAAGTCACAAACCTGAGAAAAGAGAGTGCACCTTTTATTCAGCTAAATCAGCCAGCTGAGTGATGGTGGATGTTCTTCAGTATGCTGTGAATACATGTTTCTCTGTTGGTTGATGAATTAAACACTGATTGTGCAGTAGCAAGGCAGGAAGTGTAGGCAGGGCAACCCAGACTAGGAGAATGCTGGGAAGAGGAAGGCAGAGAAGAGTCTCTAGAGAGATCCCAAGTACCTGCTGAAGGAGTAACATGCCAGAGCATAATGAGTAAGCCATAGACTTACTCATTTAATAGAAATGTGTTAGTAATTGAGAGAGAGGTAGCCAATAAGAAGCCTGAGCCATTAACCAACAGTTTATAATTATTATACTCCTCTGTGTGTTTACTTGGGACCTGGTGGAAAAGAAACATCCATCTACAGCTGGACCATAATATGGGCCAATCTTCACAGGAGTTTGTGGTAACTGAGATGATCACCGTGTCTCCAAAAGACAAATGAGTCTCAGAATGATCTAGGAATGGGAAGAAAGAAGGATACAACACCATTGTCTTTAACTGTAATGTTTATCTTGCACAGATAAGAACCATAAAGAGATATATCCTGAAATATACATTGCTATTTTCTGTCTTTGTTTCTTTCTTTCTCCCATCCATCCATCTATCCATCCATTCTTTCTTTCTTTCCATTCATGTATATGGTTATTTTTACTGAAAGTATACATGTGAACCACAAGTGTGCCTGAGGCTCACAGAATCCTAAACAAGCTACTGGAAAAGGAATTACACATGGCTTATAAGCTATCATGGGTGTCCTTGGAATAATACTCCAGCCCTCTAAATAGAAATTATTGTTGTTTACCACTGATCCATCTCCCCAGCACTCTCAGAGGGATATTCTCTGAGGCAAATATTACTGGTAGAAATTACAGGTGTGTTTGGCAGAACTAGGTTAGGGATTTTGGAAATTAACATGTTCCATATGAGACCATTGTTACTCAAAACCCAGATGTAAGCCCAAATCCTGAAAGGCTACTTTTCTAAGGAGTACAATGAGGCATGATGAGATACCAATGCTAAAACTGTTTAAAATAGTGACTTCCTGGACATTGACAGCTCTCTATTAGATGTAGGATCCATTGGAGCAAAGGAAAGCCTTTGCCTTTCTGGAGTACTGACAGAAGCATTCCAGAAAACACATGATTTCCTGTCCAACAGCTGAATTGCATAATACTAGAAATTTTTTACAAGTTTTCCTGAGGCGGGTAATTTAGTTCTAGGGAAAACTCTAATTGTCATCAGTCCTTCCAAGACCCAAACACCGGCGAGTCCAGCTTCAGGTGAGATTGGGTCTCCAGGGAGGATTACCCGCCCAACACCCATCCCCTCGATATTCTGGGGCTGCTCCTGGCATCCAGAAGACCCGCCCACACAGGAAAGACATCAGCCCTTCCAGGCCCAAATCCCCGCCAAGTCCAGCTTCAGGAAAGACATCAGACCTTCCAAGCCCCAAACCCCGGCGAGCCCAGCTTCAGGAAAGACATCAGCCCTTCCATGCCCCAACCTCCGGTGAGCACAGCTTCAGCTTAACCTTCAGTATCAGCATCCACAGCTTCAGCTTCAGGAAGGAAGGAGACCAATGGAGATGGAAAGACCCCACCAGCACCCACTGGAAGAAGAGATGGGAAGAAGACAGAATAAGAGCTCACTCAGCAATAGAAACACCAACATGACCCCACCAGAATCTAGGGATCCAACACCAGCAAGACCCGAAAAGCACTACACAGATGAAGAAGAGGAGACAGACCTTAAAATTTATTTCGTGAAGATGATGGAGACCCTCAAAGAAGAAACAAGGATATCCCTTAAAGAAATAGAAGAAAAAACAAACAAAAAATCCATGAAATGGGGAAAAATTCAAGAAATAAACAAATCTCTCAAAGAATCTAAAGAGCACCAAGATAAAACAACCAAAAAAATGAAGGAAACAACTCAAAGAGTTGAAGGATTGAAAGCTGAAATAGAAACCATAAAGAAAACACAGAACGAGGGGATGCTGGAAATGGAAAAGCTGGGTAAACGATCAGGAACTACAGATGCAAGTATCACCAATAGAATACAAGAGATAGAAGAGAGAATCTCAGGTGTTGAAGACTCATTAGAGTATATAGAGTCGTCAACTGAAGAAAATCTCAAAACCAACAAATCCTTAACACAAAATATCCAGGAAATATGGGACATCCTGAGGAAGCCAAACCTGAGAATAATAGGTATAGAGGAAGGCAAAGAAATACAACTCAAAGGTACAGAAAACATATTCAACATCATAAAAGAAAACTCCCCTAACCTAAAGAAAGATATGCCTATGAAAATACAAGAATCTTACAGAACACCAAATAGGCTGGACCAGAAAAAGAAGTCACCTTGCCATATAATAATCAAAACATCAAACCTAGGGAATAATGAGAAAATATTAAGAGCAGCTAAAGAAAAAGGCAAAGTAACATACAAAGGCAGACCTATCCGAATTACACCTGACTTCTCAATGGAAACGATGAAAGCCAGAAGATCCTGGACAGGTGTCCTACAAACGCTAAGGGAACAAGGATGCCAGCCCAGAATACTATATCCAGCAAAGCTCACAATTACCATAGATGGACAAAAACAAAATATTCCATGAAAAAGCCAGATTTAAACAATACATATCCGTGAATCCAGCTCTACAGAAAGTGCTAGAAGGAAAACTTAGATCCAAGGAAGATAACTACACCCACAAAGACACAGGCAATATATAATCCCACTTTACAAAACACCAAAAGAAAAAGGGAGGAGAAACTACACAAAATAACTTCACTAACAATAAATCAAGTACAAACAAGAATCATCAATCAATGGTCATTAATATCCCTCAATGTCAACGGCCTCAACTTGCCCATAAAAAGACACAGACTAGCAGAATGGATACAAAGACAGAACCCTTCCTTGTGCTGCATACAAGAAA